TGATGAGAATATAGAGAAAGATCGGTCACAGGATTTAGTTGATCCAACACCAAATTCTCCAAACTCACTTCATAAGAATTGAGTAGCAGATGGTGAAGAGAATTAAATGAGAAATTGGGAGTGAAAGGGTGAAAATTTTGCATTCAAGCTATTTGGCAGTGATGAAAAATGCATTTAAAAATGTTTGGTCTTAAAAAAAAAAAACTTGTTTATGTGCAGTGTGTAAGGTTGGTTCCTATACATTGAATTTCCTTTTTCAGATTATAATAATGATGAAAAGAAAATATGAATCAAATTGGTTTGAAATTTGGGTTTTATAGTTGATGATAGTTTATCTCTAGAGGAACATGTTAACTCTATTTCTAAGTCTTGTTATTACCACATTAGACGAATTGCTAAAATCCAAAAATATCTGTCCGAAGATTCCACAGCAGCTCTTGTGCATGCTTTCATCACCTGCAGATTGGACAACGGCAACACACTTTTGTACGGCCTTCCTAATTATCTGATTCAGCGACTGCAAACAGTTTAAAATTGTGCTGCCCGCCTCATTTCGTGCAAGCTGAGGTATGCACGTGCTACTCCAATCGTCAGGGAACTGCACTGGCTGCCAGTGGAAAGTCATATCATTTTTAAAATTTTATTATTAGTTTATAAATCACTTAATAATTTAGCTCCTGCATTTATTAACAGTCTTTTGAAAAATTATAAACCTAGTCATAATTTAAGGTCGGTTGATCAGGGTCTTCTGACGATTCCTAGATCCAATCAAAAGACCTATGGGGACAGGTCATTTTCAGTTGCAGCACCAAAGCTCTGGAATGCCCTACCCCTTGACATAAGGAATAGCGGATCTATCACTCTTTTTAAATGTAAATTAAAGACTTTTCTCTTTAAGAAATATTATTTATAATTTACTGCAGAATTGTGAAGCGCCATAGGGCAATTAGTGTATATGGTGCTATATAAATGCCATTGATAATAATAATTATTATTATTTTAAACTAGGAAAAAAATGAACCACAATGGAGACTTCTTCAGGGCTTGACACCAATGGTAGCCAACTAGCGATAGACTAGTAGAAATTCAGTTTTGGCTAGTAGTTTTTGATTTCCTCAAGCCAGTTTGGGTAAGAAACAAACTGAAATTGTGGTAACATCTAAATTGTCACTAGCCTCTTGGCTAGTCAGTCGAAAAGTTAGTGTCAAGCCCTGTTCTTTATTGTGAAGATTACAGGGTAAAGATTGTTTTTTCTTTACAGGAAAAAAAGTGGAGCACAGCCTCAGTAAAGAGATTTGAAGAGCTTTGTTCTGTTGCTGAAGTTTTGCACATGACAGTTGTCAGAGCAGATGGTATTGATGGTAGATTTATTTTTCCTCCTAGAAATGCTTATAAGAATTTTAAAAGCATCAACTCCCAAGATCTGATTGTTTATTTTCCCCTCTAGCTGCGACACGTCTTCTTGTAAATTACTTTGAATGAAAAAATTTGTTGTTGGCATGAAATCACAACAATTACCAAAGAGAACAATACAGCTTGCTCTTTGACGGCCTTACATTGGTTGCCATTTGAAAACTTTCTCTGAAAATTTGTTGCCCAATTTTT